ATATTATTGCGAAAAGTTACAAATATTTTTCCTTAAAATTTTAAGGTAAGCTACGTTAAATTGCAGAGATTTTTTTTTTAAAAATCAACCACGAAACTCACAAGTTTCTGAAAAAAATTGCGTTTTATCAAACGAAATTTGGCAACACCCGAGGGCTCATACGGTGTTTTTCCTCAGCACGGCCGCATTCTGATGGAGTTACCCCGAAGTTCTAAAAGACAGGAGCATAACAAAAACATGACTGGCGTCGGATCCGAAGACACAGCCTTTGTTTCGGAGGATTTTATGAGGGAATCTGGACCGCGAGTTTTGCGCCACCGGCGCAGTAAACGCTGTGCGGCGTAATAAAACACAAACGCAACGTATTTAACGAGCAAACTCTCGGAAGAAGCGCTGAATTTTCCCCAATTCGCAAAAAGTTGCGAAGTTCAGCGATAAACTAATTTCCATATTACATATTGTCGGTGGAAGAAAATGAGGGTTTTATGGCACGATTTGACAACGTGAGCTAGGAGCGACAAATTGACTCGCTTCCAAACAAAATAGCTGCATAATAAAAGTTTGTGAATGAGCGTACGTCCGTGTGAGTGAGTGGGGACTTGGAAAATGACGAACGGTGCGGAAAACTCGTCTCTCTCTCTCCCTCTCCTTCTCTCTTTCTCTCTCTCCCCCTACGGGTTCCACAGCGGCGGAGTAATGAATTTCGTTCTATATTTTGTTGAAATATGCGTTCAGTCACTCACTCATTTAATCACTAATTTCTGAAACAGTCTAATATTGCTTGGGTGCAGTAAATGTGGACTATGTGCGGTAGCGATAAACGCTTCGTTAAATGCAAGAATAATTATTGAGAATGCAAAAACATTTTAGGGAATGGGGAAATCAGGGCATTTTGCAAGGAGTCATATTGCAGAGTCGACGAGATATTTGCAACAAGTATGGATGGGTTTTGAAATGCTACATAAGTATGCTACATGTGGAATTTTCGGCTCATAATGACAAGATCCACAAAAAAGCTAAGCCATTCATCTTATTCCTTGGAGGAAGTAAATAAACTAGAACGCAGACTTACGGACTAATATATGTACTAGCCTTAAAACTCTGCCGGGCTAAGAAAAAACGCCGTATGAACCTTCAGACGTTGCCAAGTTTCCTCCAGAAAAAACCGAAATTACTGGGAAAATTATAAAAATTATTTTCCAGAATATTCAGAAAATTTCGTACACAATTTAAACTAAAATATCTGGAACTTTCGTGGAAAAACATTCATTAACTTTGTCAAAAATACATGTTTTATCGATGGAAATTTGGCAACTCTCGAATGTTCGAACGGTGTTCTTCCTTAGCACGGCGGAATTTTGCTGTAGTTTCGCCTATGCACCTGGGAAATCATATACGTGTATTTGGGCTTGTAATGTTACATATATTTGTAATACATGTTGTACATTTGTTGTACATGTAATATTTCCTGTCGCGTATTTCATTTTTTTGGAAAGATGAATGGTTGCATCATTTTTGTTCCAAATTCTGTGCGGATCATCAGGAAGGCTCTTTTAAAATTTCGCACTTTAACGTCAAAATTGGGATTTTAGGAGGAGGAGCAGGAGGAGGAGGAGAAGGAGGAGGAGGAGGAAGAAGAAGAAGAAAATTTAAACAAAGAACGACTTATTAAATAAGGTTACAGGAAACACTACATACCACGCTCAGATACCTAATTTTTTGCGGATTCCGGCATCGTTTAAAAAATGCATTTCTCGGAAAATTGAAAATATCGAAATAAAAATCAGTAATATTTTACTTTGGTAGCACAACAAGTAACGCTGGAATCAGTTAAGAAGTAAGAAAAACAATCAAAGCATCAAAGTCGCGTGCAGCGGATACTAAACGAAATTCATTAAGGCGCCTGGAACCCTGGATACAACTATTTGAACTCCATGGATGCCCGTGTTGCATACGCCCAGATTTGAAGGCGTTTTGATTGTCGCGTGCACCGGATACTAAACAAACTTCATTAAGGCGCCTGGATACAACTATTCGAACTCCATGGATGCCCGTGTTGCATACGCACAGATTTGAAGGCGTTTTGAGTGTCAATGCGTTTTGAGTCACCATATCTCCCGCAGCCCTTGGCGACTTTCTCAGAGAAATCATCGTAATTTTCGGGCGACTTACGCCCCAATAGTTCTACTTACACACCTGTACACGTTAAATGCACCCGTTCCCGCTTTCTAACATAGATTCTCTACTTTTCCGGGACTTCTCTCGCCGCTGGAAAAAGAAAAGTCTCTTGGATCCGGAGTCCAGACTCTTAAAAAAATTAGCAAGAATACATACTCTTGACTCAACCGGATTTTTGCTTCGATCAAAAGGACATCCGCTTAAATTAGGTGGCTTGGCTCTCGATTCATAAAAAATCCGATGGAAGCAAGCGTATTATTTCTTGTCAAATTTTCTAGGAGTCTTGACTCTGGATCTAAGAGACGTTTTTTTTCTGTGCGTGCCCGCAAGAATTCCGGTGCTTGTACGCCTTTTTAGCTCTTCAACACTATGGTTCTTACTCATGCGTCGGCCTGCTCAAAAGTTACACTTTTCTTTTTTTTAATCCATGGTATGCGATGAATAGGGTTATTTGAGTTATCTGCGCGTTCCGAGCGGTTCTGTTTGAGGTTAAAGGATCGCACGTATGACCTGCGAACAGCGAACCCATTCCGGAAGAGCAATATAGGAGTTCCACTGGAACACATTGAACGGGGTGAACCGCGACAGTGGACCGAAACAAACGAGTAAAGCGGTTCAACGTGGTCCTCAGCGATTACGGCCAAAAAGAAAGCCAGAGCGCCTGCAATTTTTCGTGTATGCAGCACGGACATCTCCAGAACACGAATAGTTGCATTCAAACGTAGCAATTCAAAAAGCCCTTTTAAGATGCGCTCGGAGTGGTGTTGTTGATTTTTTTTCGATTTTCGGAAAAAATCGATTTATTGCACCAACCAATCGACTAAATTGAATGGATTTGTGACGCTCAGTTTTGCCGTTGAATCGATTTTTCATTCACAAATCGTAATTTGTCAATTTTGCGGTTTTCAAAAAAAAAAAAAAAAAAAAAAAAAAAAAAAAAAAAAAAAAAAAAAAAAAATTCCTGAATAATTAAGGAAGCAATACGCCTATGTCATTCTTCCAAACTAAAGGGAGCCACTATGCCGTTTCGAGGGACAATGAAACTAACGCTCCGTGAGACGAGAATTTATGAAAAATGAACGGCACAATACTGTTCCTGTTCCTAAAAATTGATTTTTCTTTTTCGGAGCGGTTTTCTTGAAAATAAATTTTTGGCCCTGACTTTTCTGCGATAAATCGATTCTCTGGACGGAATCGAAATTTTCGATTGGATCGATTTTTTGGAAAAAATCAACAACAATAGCTCCGAGTGGCGCCTGACGGAGTGATCCGCGCGGTCCCGTCACTGACAGTCGCGACCTTGGCTCTGTTGCCAAGTGAGGCTCTTAAAAATCATGTAAATAGGAGGCTAGGAGCAAAATGTGACAACGAGGAACGAAGAGAATGGAAGGAGACGAGTGGTGCCGCCTCCGACGCGGCACGTGACCGGATAGTGTTGTGTATATTTTGCCCCACCGTTTCGCGCCGCGACGCGCCGTTCCCCTCTCTACGGACATAGATGCTAAATTTCATGAGATTCCATAAAATTAACTTCTGAAATGTTTTATCTTCTAAAATGTTTTTCTTCACGTTTTTTTTTTTTTTGTAAAGTGAAATTTTGAAAAGAGATGTTCTTTTTTAATTTTTATTTTATTTATTTATTTTAAAAATAAAAGACTCATAATTGGACTTCATTTTGCAATTAGAAACTATAAATTCTGGCTGTTCTGGAAAAACACTAATGTTCATTGGGAAACTGAAGGCACATTCAATGTTTTTAAACCGGGCTAGAATTTAAGGTTCCAAATTGTAAAATGCAGTCCAATTAGGGTTCTGCCAAGAAATGGAGCCTCCGTAAGGGAATGGGGGCGGAAATCCGTCCCAGTGCCTAGAGGAGCCACGCTGGAACTACCAGATACGAAAAATAATGTTCCTCATATAATTTTAATTTTCGAGAAAAAGTAAAATTATTTTGTCCCCTTACGTTTATAACTAGATTGAAAGCAAATTAATAACATTTCATCCCGAGTGACGGGGTTTGTCCCCTTTTTTTATTGTTTTTGCTCTCTTTCTCTCAGAGGAAACTTAGAAGAAGTAACAATCCTAAAGATTTGAAGGGAAATAAATTTGTTTTTCCTTTTTTGAACCATGTGCGAGGATATCATGATATTACGACCAATGGTGGCAAAATTACGACAGTTTTTTTTTTTTTTTTTTTTTTTTTTTTTTTTTTTTTTTTTTTTCCCAGAGAAGGCACTCTAAATCTTGTTTCTGCTGGGAGCGGTCCCTCAGAATTTCCTTAGAGATTATCTGTAAAAATAGGGGCCCACTTGCGAGTCCAGCCCCAGGGCTTTTGGAAGGCTTTAGGGGGGGGGGGCTTTGGGGGCTCTATTTGGTAGATTTATGACTCGAAATGATAGTAAGCATGATAAAGCAAGCTTTGCGAGTTGCGACTCAATTCACGGGCATCACCGGGCAGAAATAAAATTAATTGTGGACCAGGCAGCGTTGGACGATGTTCAACAGACCACGCTACTAAACGGTTGCCATGTTTCCTCGAGAAAATTGTAAAAAACCTACATACATATGTACGAGATATGGTGCATTTTAGAGAACGCTTCGGCAACACGAACCAGAACCAGACGACACCGGCTCGGTCTCGTATGCTTCGGAGGGGAACGCAACGCAACGTTCCGTCAGCTCGGCAGTTTCCGATCCGCTGCTTGACTGTGCTGTGCGTTCAGGTTTTTAAAGCGTAGTTTGTACGGAGAGTTTCCAGTGGTTTCGTGATAAAAAACAATTGTGAGCCATTCTTTTTTAACGTTTTAATTAACAAAAAAATTGTCCAGTTTCGGTACAACGAAAAGCCAAAATATATATCCATTGTGGGTTAACGTTCACATCCAGTTAAAAGACTGTTGAGGAGAACTGTGGATTTTCCTTCCGAGTTAGACCTATGCAAAATTCTATCAAATGAATGATCGTTTGTTGTCATTTGTCATCAATTCTATCAAAATGAAATGCATAAATACTTAGTACAGTGATTGATTTCTCCATGCTGTTATTTTTATAATCATTCGGGGCTCTATTGCGAGTTTTAGTTCCGAATCCGAAATTTCATTACGCCCAGTAAAAGCACACCGCACAGCGTACGTCTTTCAATTCCATCGCTGACATCTTCACATGTTCGCGCGTCGGATATTTACAGTAGATAGCGCTGTTTCAGCTTTCGCGCGAATTGCTGTGTCACCACGTGGTGTTAAATCTTAGGTTTCATACGCGTGAGTGTGCGTGTAATTTCTATGAAACCGACTCGATAATTTTACAAAAGTGTTGTTGACATTCGAAATCACGCCTGACTTATTCGATCTAAACATGGCACCCATGCCGATGACTGACAAAGGTTTGATTCGAGCTGTGAAGAACTACCCTTTTCTTTATGACAACAATAACGCGTCTTTCCACGACACGAAGAAGCGAGACGGTGCATGGATGGAAATAGCGTCTAAATTCGATAAAACCACAGGTATCGAGGAAACGAGGTCTAGTAACCTTCCTTTTTGCATGCCGTTCTTTCGAAAAGATTTTTACGATCTACATGGATTTTTAACTGAATAAGCAAAACAGCATTTCATGTTGACTAATTTTCTCTGATGTTCGTAACTATTCATTTTGTCAACAGAGATCTAGAACACTGAACTACACGGTGGATTTACCTTAATTTTAAAATCCATCCACTTTTCTAGATTCGTCGACATCATAGAGTAAAATAGAGTCTTGATGTACTGGAGCACCGATGGAGTCAATCCTCTAACGATGCATTTTGGCCTCCTGTTCGCCGGAAAGTGAGAAGCATGCGGCGCATTTCAACAAGTAGCTTATATGGAAGCTCGCGGGCTGCGAGTGTTTCGGAATTCATTAATTTTAATCCATAATTTTTCTCGCGAATTTTGGCAAATTATGTTGACCTGCATCATAAAAAATGAAAAACAACGTATGGAATTCCCGGCTTGAATGGAAAGTGAAATTTTTAGGAATTTCCTCATTTTCAGCTTTTCCAATTTAAATCCAAAAATTTTAGTTTGAGGTGATGTTCTATTGTTTTGAACGGAACGATACATGGAACCACTATCGAAAGCGACTCCATTGCACTCTATGGTCTGAGAGGCTTTGAGGACAAGGCGCACAAGTGCACTTTTTGCTATTTCGAGAAATACATGTTTGAAGTTTCTAAATGACATGGATCCTTGAGGTGGAGAGGAAGTTCGAACTGACTTTAGCGTTTTAGACTGCGTAAAAGTTGGAATTTGAAGCGAATTTTTCACGGAATATTCGTTTAGACTAGTTTTACTTGGAATCATCATTATCTCAATTTTTTCATAATCTGCACTTATGCGCTTTGTCCGCCAAGCCCCTCACATGATCTGTTTTCTGTTTGCGTGTAGGTCTCGTGTGCAAGCGTCGATGGCAAGTGCTCCGGGACTGCTTCCGGAAGCAACTTCGGAAGAGGCGCCTCTCGCAGGGCGCCGAGTGCGGAAAGAAGTGGCGCTACGAGGTGGCCATGGACTTCCTCGTCCCCTTCATCACGGAGCGGAACCCGGACAAGTGCTCCAACGTCTCCTCGCTCGCCTATGTGCCCCCCGAGAACGAAACCGAAAATGAAAACGAAAGCGACGAGCAGTCCTCGGAGTTTAACCCCGACTTCGATGGCGATATCAAGTATGAAACTCAATAAACCTATCTTAAACCGTCGCACAGTGGATTGACTCAATTAGAGAGGTCGGACGTGAAATTTTTTAGTAAAATTCGACACATTTTAAATTTCAATGAGTGCTTTAAGAAGAAAATTTTATGAGGAAACCAATCAATGGATCCTTTTTTAGAACCTCGAAGTTTTGTACACTGAAAAAAAAAAAAAAAAAAAAAAAAAAAAAAAGATTGGTAGACTTTACCATTCCTTCACGCTGTATTTTACATAGCGTGAATTGGACCGCGTTAAACAGAAAGGAACCAAGCCACATCAGCTATTGCCAAATTTCATGGAGCAAATTAATTTTTTACATGAGAACGGTTGTGCGGATTTTTGGGCAAATTCCAGTGAAAATTCTCCATAGTTTGTAGAAAATTCCCTAAAAATTTTAAAGGATTCCGCACAAAAGTTCTCTGGTAAAAACTTTAACTGCCCAGTTAAATTTGGCAATAGCTGATGTGGCTTGGTTCCTTTCTGTTAAACTCGATCCAATTCGAAGTCGATTCTGCCAGAGGAATGGCCTGTACCAGTACGTAGTAACGTTTACCTTTTTTCTGAGAGAATTGACTCTGAATTGACGCTGTGTGAAATAATACAGAGTGAAGGAATGGTAAATTCTACCCATCTTTTTTTTAGGGTATAAATGGAGTTATAAGCGTTTAAAGTTTCCAAATTTTGTCCGACCTTTCCTATATTGACTCGCTCCACCGTGCGTCGTAACTCTGATTCCCTAAGAGCTCCAATGGACGTATTTATGGCAAAAGGAAGCAGACACGGGTGGGGAAGAAGGAGTGTGCTCGTTAGTTGAGGGCCCTTAGAATGAATGGGAATTATAAAGCGCCAGTGACGTCAGCGACGATGACGGAGACGACGATCCGCGGACCCGAGTCTTAACTCATGAGCCCTGTCTACAACACTCTTGTCACATGCCCACGGCTCGTGAGTTAGCATATTTTGGCGCTTAGTTCCTTCCGGTTTAATGTGAAATCCCACTTTTCCATTTTCCCAAAAGGAATCACACTCACCTTTGCATTGTTTCTTATGCAGCTTCAACGAGCACACCCCCATCTTTTCCACCCGTCTCTAGTTTTTTTTAGCATACAGACGTCCAATAGAGAAGCGGATATGTTATTCTCGAGGGTCAGAGTTCGATTTGACCATCCATTTGGGTAACTTTACGCAAATCGTCCATCACGCAACCACGAAAGCATACAGAAGATAGCACTCACGCTGTTCTACCCAACACTAGCCTAACATGATAATAAAAAATACCCGGTTCATGTACTTGAAACGAAGTCGGTCGATTTAAAATCATCGACACGAGTCTTTCGGATGATTAGTGGCAATCTGACGAAAACGTAGGCTTCTTTCAATAAAGTTATCCGGTCAGACGCTTCTTAGCCGGTTTTTTCAAAACTTCATTTTTGTACTTTCTATTCTCTCCACTATCACGGCAGTAAACATGGTTGTCGTAGAATGAAGAAAATGAAATTCCCTGATTTCCCTATCACATTTTGGACAAATTTCCTGATAGTTGAAGATATGCCAGATGGTTTGAAAGACGGAATTCCACATAATTTTCACGCAAAATCTATTTTTGAAACGTCAAACCTCGTCTTGAAAGCAAACTAAGGTGCACTGAAAAAAAAAAAAAAAAAAAAAAAAAAAAAAAAAAAAAAAAAAAAAAACACATTGGATCTAGAGTCCAGACTCTTAAAAACATCGACAAGAAAAAGTACTCTTGATTCAATCAGAATCTAGCTTAAATCAAGAACCATGCCTCTTAATTAAGCGGATTTCGTTTTGATTCAAGCAAAAATCCGATTGATTCAATCGGATTTTTCTTGTCAATGTTTTCAAGAGTCTGGACTCTAGATCGAATGTGGTTTTTTTTCAGTGTGATTTGACGATTTTTCCCTGACATTTCTGACTTTTCCGTCATTTTCTCAGACAATTCCAGGTTTCCCCGGTATTCCCTGACTGTGGCAACCCTGGGTAAAGTATTCATTTTGTGGTAACTAAATTTTGGATACAAGTTCAATACTTTGCCTGTTCTTTTTTACCATCAGGTACGCGATTCTGAACGCGGCGAGTGGCGAGTACCTGCCCCAGAACGCGGAGGGGCTCCTGGCGAGTTGCGCAAAGGATCGAGAAGAGCAGGGCATCAAAGCGACCGTGCAGAAGAACGAAAGCAACCTCGAGAGGAGGAACATGAAGCGCTGCATCGAGGAACTGACTGACGTCATCACGACGCCGCTGCCGTCATCGTCGTCCAAGAGGCCACGAGGAGACTCGGAAAAGCCGCGGGACGATGACGCACTTACGTTGTTTTTCAGAGCGATGGCTGAAACCGTCCGTACCTTCAAGTACCCCCTGCAGATCGAGATCAAAGGCAAAATTGCCAACCTCGTCAACGAGTATGAGCTCAGGAATCACACCGGTTGATCGCGAGGCAAAGAGGAAAGATGCGTATTTTCGCGTCGGATCGGGTAAAACGAGCACTGGAAAAATAAACACATTGGATCTAGAGTCCAGACTCTTGAAAACATTGACAGGAAAAAGGACTCTTGATTCAATCAGATTTAAGCTCAAATCAAAAGGAAATCCGCTCAAATTAAGAGGCTCGGTTCTTGATTTAAGCTTAAATCTGATTGAATCAAGAGTATTTTTTCTTGTCGATGTTTTTAAGAGTCTGGACTCCAGATCCAATGTGTTTTTTTCCAGTGCGTGAACATAGAATAATAGGTACTATTCTATGGTTTGAATTAATCCGATCCAATGAATGCGCTTTTCTCGTCAACCCGATCCTCGTTCTCGGAGTTTACCAAACGGATGGTTAGTGCTGACTGGGACTATCGTTGGGATTTAACCTATACCTTTTGAATGGGTAAACATAATACAGTTTACCTTAATTCTTTCGTATTTTATATTTACAACAGAAAAATACGCGACACTCTACCTCGAGATTCTGTGAGCTCGTCCATTCTAATCTAACAGAATTTCACAGAAATTTTCAGAGGATTCTGTTCCTCACTTGTTCGCTTGGTATATGAAACACGAATTGAGGCCTTGCTACGACGCAACGTAAAATAAAGTTAGAATAATTTGGTTTCTGGTTATCCAAATATCAATCAATGCCTGTATCTTAGCTCACAAGATTTGAAAAAAGACTTTAGCAAAAAGAGCTTAAGAGAATTCAGGTTCTTGCTCCTTTGCTTTTCTTTTCTCCGTTTTTCTAGACTGACATTAAGCATTAAATACGGCACATAGAGTATAGAATACTGTCATGCTTAGACAAGACGCCGTAAAGACCTACAGACATGGATAAATTTCCTCTCACAAAGTACGAATTTTCGGGGAGACTAAAGAACTTCGTTCCCTTTAATTTTTTGAAAAATTTCATTCGAAATATATTTTATGAAAGTTGTAAGAGAAATTATTCCCATCTTCTCTAAAATTGCATCTCTAATTTTATACTTATCCGATGAAATACTGCAACAGTCAAACGATCGTGTGGCCTTGTTCATCTACAAGGCATAACAAGGGCCTAACTCAAACATAACAACGCTAAAAGCTCCTCTCTGAAGGTATATTCTTTTAACTTGAGGCTGAGGGCTTCGAAACGGAACAGAGCAGGTTCCGGCAAAGTTCGCAATCATTGCTGCGATAGTTGTTATCGCTATTGAAGGAAGTACTAACTTCAAGTTTGTGAGATGAATAACAGCCGGAACAACGTTCTCAGAATCTGCAGAATTCTCAATGAGTCCTTGGTCCAGTTCTGCCGGGCTATGGAAAAACGTCTTGAGAACATTCGAGAGTTGCCGAAGCTCTCCGAATATAGCGTGTATTTTTGAGGAAAGTTATGCATGTTTTCTCTTGACATTTTCGGATATTTCATACTAAATTACGAACGAAATTATCTGGAAAATGTGAAGAAATATATTCGCAATTTTTCCCGTAATTTGTTTTTTATCGAGGGAAATAAGGTAACGTCTGAAGGTGCACATGGCGTCCTTCCATAGAACGGCAGAATAATTTTTTGGTCTACAGCAGCCACAAAACTTTTGAGGGGAGCCAAGGTGCGTGGATTGCAAGGTTGTGGTTCAGTTTGTGATCACAATTCATCGGTTTCTCAGGTGAAGAAACATAACTACATTCCAACTTACAAAGTTAATTGAAAAAATTACTAGATACGGCGTCTCAATTCCTCATTTCCTCAATTTCGTCGAATTTTGAGTGTAATTATGAGAAAAAAAAAACGAAATATTCAGTCATAAACGCTCAATAATGATCTAACGTAAATGTACATGGAAACTTTGCTAAGTTGCAAAATGCACAGTTACGTTATTTCGTCTTGGAAACAACGATGTGCGAAATTACTATTATTTTAGTTGTGGTCATTTTCACGGTGAGTTTAATTTGATCTCGATTTGGGAATATTTCATAAAGTGTTTTGTTTACATTATATTATCGGCCATTTGCATCAAGTGAGCATTATAATTTGATTAGTTGATGTAATTTTTACGTTAATTTATTCGAATACTATAAGGAGATGTGTTCAGTTATTTCATTTAAGGGTAAGAATGCATGATCATGCATACTGGCTTCTGTAGTTATTATAGGATTTAGGTAATCTGGATAAAATACTTCTACGTGTTATACTTTGTTGTGATGACTGAAAATTTGGCTCTGCGCCAAATAAAAATCTCAGGATATAATGATGTTTAAAAATTTTAAAATAAATAATAATAATAAAAATGATTCGAAAAATTTGTTAATTTTAGAATTTTTCATTGGCCTTCTTTAGGTAAAAGATTCGATCTTCAGAATGTTTGTTCATGCAGGGTTCCTTTTCACAAATTGCGAGATGAATATTCGCGATTCAACAGAAATGATTTCCTTCCTTCATAACTTTTTATCTAGTTTAAATCCAAACCATCGTCACTGTGTTCTTTCAAATCACGGTGAAGAAGAAAAATAGGGGATTATGTACTTCATACCTAAATCACACAATAGCTTCCGTTGCAAGTAAAAGGACAGCTTCTTGAATTGTAGAGAAAACCATCCGGCAAAGTAAAGATTGAAGGATTCCATTAATACATACCTAAAACAAACAAGAGAAAAAACAGTTTATTATTATGTGAGCTCCAAAGGAGAAGATACGTAACGTGCAGTTTTGCTCAGCAATAGAATTTTTCAAGAAAAATAATCATTAAAGAAGACACTATAACTTTGTCGACCCATCAGGTTTCACCCATCAGACTTCACAGGACTAAGGACTTCGTATTTTGTCAAGAATTGGGCGATCGTATTGGTGGGCTACACATGTTTCCAGTGATTGGCGCAAGTATCTTCAGTGCTGCCAGTGCAAAACGCTTACTGGCGCCTACAAGACTGCATGGATACTTCACGCATGGCGTGTCCACCACGGAGGATACTTCACGCATTGCACGTGCATCATGGTGCGTACTCGTGATGTGTGAAGTATCCATGCCGTCTTGTAGGCGCCAGTGCGCGTTTTGCGCTAGCAGCACCGGGTACCTTAAGCCTTTCGTGGAGCTCTTAGGATCCAAAAAACTGATGGATGTCACATGCTTTTTCCAAATGTAGATAATGAGGTTTTAGTTGCATATATGACCATGCAACTCACTCGAATTCCGAAGGCACACTATTTACTCAGTTTTGAATCCAACATGGTGCACTACATTTTAAAACGTCTTTTTAACTTGAACCTCTACTACGGCAAGATTGGTAACTGGTGAAACAGGCGAAAAACGTCAAAGGTTCGCAACAACCCCTCTTCACCCACTCCCACCTCTGAACGCTTTGTTCCAGGGGCGTGTCGTTGAACCTAAAAAAAGTATAATTAACGACTACCTATATTTTGAAAGGTTGCTGTCAAGATTTTGAGAGATTCTCCCAGTTCCAAGGATAACCTAGAAGCGCTTGTTAAATTGGACGTATTTATACCAAAAAGAACTAGAGACGAGTGGGAGAGATGGGATGCGCTCGTGCAATCTGTTTAAGATTCGATGTAAACGTGGGCGCGATTGATCTTGGCGATTCGGAGAAGTGGGATTTCACATGGAATCAAAAGGAACTGAGCGGCAAAGTATGCTAATTCATGAGCCGTGGGCATGTGAGAATAGCGTTGTGTACAGGGCTCATGAGTTATTAAAGAGCCCCGTCGATCTCCTCGTCCCTGTCGACGTCATTGTCGCCACTGGCAGATCTGGCAAATTGGCAACATTGTCTTTGCTCTATTTAAACCTATGGAAATGTATCGATTTTTAAAAGGGCCAGGTGCTCCGACAAGACTCGATTATTTAGCATAGCTTGAAGTGGAGGAAATCCGCTGTTGCCAAATTTCCGGATCCGCCTCTGATTGGCGCTTTTTAATTCCCATTCATTCTTACAGTCCTCGACTATAACGAGCTTACTCCTTCTTTCCCACACTTCTCTCGTTCCTTTTTAGCATTAATACGTCCAACATACGCTAACTCATGAACCGTGGGCATACGACAAGAGCGTTGTGAACGCGGCTCATGAGTTAAACGCTGTCGAGATCGATCTCCTCGTCCCCGGCCTCGACGCTGCATGACGTCACTGGCGCTTTATAATTCCCATTCATTCTTACAGCCCTCGCCTGACGAGCACACTCCTCCTTTCCCACCTGTCTCTCCTTCCTCTTAGCATAAATACATCCAATTGATAACCGAACGCTATTTATTTCCGAGTCACAAAATTAGGCCACAGAGCCGTGACGAAAATAGCGCGAGACAGCCTCCAAAATGACAAGCGCGAGGTGGAAATCGAATTTCCCAAACCTACTTTCCCCAGAAAAAGAGTATGAAGTTTTTAACGCTTTCCTCCCACTTTGATGTCACAAATATTAAAAATAAGAGGAAATGAAGCGAATATCAATCTTAATCTCACTTCGGTACGCACTCACTTCCCTCGGTAATCTGGAGTTGGAGCGCACTGATTGGTGCGGGAGGCGGTATTAAACACTGCAGAGGCGGGCGGGGAGGGATTTCAAAATTCAGGGGGATGAATAAATTGGGATTGATTGCTCGCCACCGAGATTCCATTCGGGAAGAGTCGTATAACTTTAGAACAACGAGAGCTTTGCGGAGGAGATGAAGAGAGGAGATGGGAAAAGGGGAGAGAGAAAGAGGGAGTGAGTGAGTTTTCCAGTCGTGAGGTAATATAATGAGAGTGCGAGGGAGTAATTTGGAAAGATTACCGGGCAATTTTTTTACGACCTGAAGCGTTGCGCCGGTTTCTGAAAAATCGGCCGTAAAGAAATTTATTGGCATTATATGGAAGGCATTGGAAGGCCCTGAGCTAGTGGATACGTGAGCTGTTCGTATTATACCGAAACCGATTTTAGATGAATCGCGGTAGGATGTTCGTCATAAAATAAGATGCGCTAAGAATCGGATATTTTGACAACT